AAAAAAAAAAAAAAAAAGGAGGCAATTCTCGGAATAACAGTGGAAGCGCATGCCACTCAGAATGAACACCACTGGGGTGCTTTTGAACCCCGTCTGTTTATTTTCATGTTTAGAGAGAGTTATGAAAGGATGCATGCCGCACTGTCAATGACAATTCGACAAGGAAACTAAGGTAAGCCAAGCAGTCCCTTTGCTGGAGCTCTGAGGAAGTGGATCTGTACCGCAAACAAAGGTGTGTTCCATACCTGGGTCTCCACCAAGCAAGGGCTTGTCCCCTGTGCTGCCACAGGTGCTCAGGAACCTGGGGGACAGGGGTTGCCATCCTAGGACACCATCATATCAGCACAGGACTTCCAGGGGCCACCTGAGCAGGGGAAAGAGGAGCTCCTAGAATTCACAGCTGTCTGCCCCACACCTGAAGCATCACATCCTTTACTTCTGTCCCCAGGCCTGTGGCCAGAGCCATAGCATGGTCCTGTGTGACTTCAAGGGCTAGAGTCTTCTGGTGTGGCAGGTAATTACTCAGAAACCTACTCATGTAAAAACATATGTACATATATGCTATTAAGAAATTCACTAATATTTTAATACATTTCTTAATCACGTCCTATAAGCAGCTCATTTCCTATACATACAGACAAGAAAAAAAAAGAAAGCATTTGGAACCAAGCATAGTGGCACACACCTGTAATCCCAGCACTTGGGAGGCTGAGGCAGGAGGATCACTGTGAGTTTATGGCCAGCCTGGGCTATAGAGTGAGTTCAAGGCCAACCTGAACTACATAGTGAGACCTCACCCCAAACAAACAAGTAATTATGACTAAAAAGCATTCCGCCAACTGGTGATTTTGGTGCTGTCCCTTAAACTGAACCACAGGACCATGGTTCATCTACAGCAGAGGATATAAATCAAGCCCTCTGGCCACAGGGTATGTTCTTTCTTCTTCCTTTATTGCTGCTTCTTTCATGTGTGTGTGTGTGTGTGTGTGTGTGTGTGTGCGTGTGCGTGTGTGTGTGTGTGTGTGTGTGTACCACATGTGTGTGTGTGTGGTTGTGTGTGTGTGTGTGCGTGTGCGTGTGTGTGTGTGTGTGTGTGTGTACCCAGGGCCTTCACACCGAGCTGCATCCTCACCTCATGTTTTATTTCGAGACAAATCTCACTAAGCCACTGAGTTGCCTAAGCTGGGGTCAAACCTGGCATCTTCTTGCCTCAGCCTCCCAAAGCCCTGGGATTATGTGCAAGCACCTCCAGGCATGGCGAGGGTGGGTTCCTTCCGAGGGCTGTGAGGGTAACCTGTTCCGGGTCTCCCTCCCGATTCCCGCTGCTTTGCTGGAGATCTTCACCACCCTCAGCTGGTAGACCCGTCCGCCTCTCCCATGACGATGTCCCTGTGTCCACCTCCACAGAATCCCGAGTCGTTGCCCCCCATGTGCTTGGAGTGTGCGGCGTACGTTTCCGTTTTAGCTGTAGAATTAACTTTCGGACCCTTTTCTGTGAGTACAATTGCACTTCCTGTCACCGCCCTCCCAGTAGCTGCTCTGCAACTACCGGGATCCTGTCCTTGCCCTCCCCGGTCACAGGGCAGATTCCAGAGTGCTGTGCCTTACCCAGTTCTGTGACTGCAGGAGGCTTTGTAGACAGGAGGCCAGAGAGCCGTGCTGAGGGTGTTTTGGGGCTTAACATTTCCACAATAAGGGACTCGGTCTCTTTCTCTGAAAATCTTTCATTTTTTTATTTGAACAGCCAAGCCATTCCTGTCTTTTTTAATACCAGGAATGCAAACCTAAACTTTTGTGACCTCTCCCATCTTTTGGAGTTTTAATTATAGAATATTTCATTATCAAGGGTCCCCTTACTTCTTATGTGCAATGTGATAAAAAAAATGGTGAATGTCTAAATTTAAAAATTATTACAGGGCCGGGGATTTAGCACAGTGGTTCTGGTGACTGCCTTGCAAGTGCAAGGATCTGAGTTCTATCCCTGGTACCAAGAAAAAATTATTACAGTAAAAGATACAATTCATGAATCTCCTGCAGACCCTGTCCCCTTGCTTTGAACACACTCCTCCCATCCTCCTTGCCACTTTCTGTAGCAGCTCTGGAGTCCTCTTTCTTGAGTGTCTTAATTACACTGTCTTGGCTGCGATGATGTCGAGTCAATTGAAAACCTTTCCCTTTCATGGTCATTTTGACTTTGGGGAAGAGAGGGAAGTTGCAAGGGGACAAATCCAGTAAATAAGGCGCATGAGGACATAGCATCATGTTTTTATTTGACGTAAATTTCTCTAAATCTTTGATCAATGAGATGTGATCAACAAATACAGCAGGTGTTTAAATGGAAAAGTTTATCACAGTAAAAGACACACCACTGCCATTGATCTCCTTCAGAATCCTCAGACCCTTCCCTTCCTTCAAACCCATTTCTCCCATCGTACTTTTTTTTTCTTCAAGGCCAGAACCATAACAAACCAAAGTTCGAACCTATTAAAGAAAACTCCTACCTCTGTCCACTAATCTTGGTGGAAGACCTCCAAAATGATTCTCTGAACTCAAAGAATGAATTTTAGGAACAATGGAGGTTAAGGGTAGGAAAAATTAATTGAGGGAAAGAAAGCTTCTGTCTAAGAGAGACAGAAGGGGACCCGAAAGTGGGGTGGTCCTCTCCTGTCATTCCTGACAATGTCTTTTACTGTAATAATTTTGATTTGAATGTAGACAGTCACCGTATTTGTTGACTACTCCTTGTATTTTGCACATGTAGCGATGCTTCTGAAATTGTTCCAGATCGGAGTGGGGAAAGTCCGGACTGCTTCTGTGCATCTTTACTGACCACGCTGGGAGACTGGAGGTCTGGGGTTGAGTAATTCCAGCGCAGTCGCCGCTCAGGCTTTGTGGCTGTCCTGGGTGTCATCTCTAGGAGGACGGTAACTTTTTCTCCAGTGAGCAGTGGCTGCATAACTTCCCAGCCAGCAGTCGACATCTTGCTGCCTCTTTGCATTGTCTTTGATTTATTCCTTGTTTATAGAGACCCAAGCCAGAAAGACTCACAGTGTTGGCAGCCGATGAAGGCAATTTCGGTCTGATTTTTGACACTGTAATTACACGTGAGCTGCAGTCAATAGCCCACTCCACCTCCCTTGCAGCCCTTGCAGGTGGGGAGGCTGTGCTGGCCTGGGGCGGTAGGGGAGGGGGCTAGCCCGGCGTGGGTGAGCTCTCCGGGACTCCAAAGGAAGCTGTAATCTGTAAATGGCTGGGCTGAGTGGTGCCTTCCACTCACGTCTCTCAGAGGTATGAACTAACAAAATAAAGGAAAGAAAATTGGATTAATTTTAATAATCCTGCCGCCTTGATTCCAAATCCCCGAACACCTACAAACACAAAGTGTCCTTTAAAGCTCAGCCTCTGATGGGAAAAGGCTCCGGCTCGCTAATGAGGATGCACAGCCAGACGTGTCCTTTGGGACAGATGGAGGATCCAGCAGAGAGTAGAGGCACCTGAGGGCCCCAAGGGGGTCGGTGCTCACCGGCTTCTCTGAGCCTTCCCAGTGAATTCCTTTCAGATTATGTTTTTGAGAGCAGATCCAGGTCCTTTGTGCTATTGATTGTTTTCATATGAAAAAACATTGAGACCCAGGGGGCAAACTGGGCCGGGGTGGATTGGAATCCACGTGGTGAAGAGGGGCTGGCTGGACCCGGCGCCGTGGGCGGGGCGGTGGTGATGGGCAGAGCTCTGATTGGTGGGAGCAGCTGGGGGTAGTCACTCTGTGCTCCAGCAGGTTCCTGGTGGGAGAGATCAAAGTTCCCTCTTGGCTCTGTCTCTCACTGTCTGACTTTAGTTCCGGTCTCGGGCCTTGTAAACCTTGGTTTCCCCGTCTGTGAAATGGGGAGCGAGGCCTCCCCATGAAACTGTAGTGGGAGGGACAAAGACGAGTTTGCTGTGGCTTCCGGCCTGTAATGAACCAGCGCCGTGGGACAGCTAATGCTGCTTTCTACGTAAAGTAGAAAATGGAAAGTGTCACTTAGAAATCGCCTTCTGGAGTATTTCTGGAGGGCATGCCAGTGATGACCACTTACTGGGGTATCATTTATCATGAGTATGGACTTAAACTCATATAGTCAACTGTGATGCTTTCTGGATTCTACAAACAGACACAAGCCTAACATAATGGATTGTTTGCAGTAGGCAACAGGGCTGATCATTTTTAAATACCTAATGTTCAAGCAAGAGCTCCTTAGAAAACAGAGGCAGCGTGTAAGCATCAACTCACGTGATTTTATTTTTAGCATGCCTCCTCTGCCACCTTTGTGGGTCTTTAACAAACTACAGGGCGAATTTCAAGGAGGGAGCTGGTGACGTGTGCTCCCAAGGCATTTAGGAAAATGGATCTGAATGGAAAACTGGCCTCACCCGCACACAAAGAGTCCTTTGATAAATCACTTTTCAGAGCCAGAGTTGCTCCCATGTGAGAAATAACTTCCTTGGTCCATGAGGAACAAGCGATTTTGCATCCAAGAGGAATAGTTTAGTGGGGTACGTGCTTTCTCGTTGTACTTGTTTTTATCATATAGTATTTGAGTGCATTGTCACAGCAAGATTGCCCAGAAATCAACTGAACATTCACCTGAAAATAACAGCTGGATCTTTGGAATTGCCTTGAAAAATACGGACGTAAGTAAAAATTTACTTTCTCCCTTTGTCTAATCTGAAAGTGATTTATGAGGCAGGACCTGTACAGAACTTTGATAAATACCTTGCAATTACTCTGAATCAAGTTTCCACACTATAATGTGAAGGCACAAATAGATAATTGCTTTATTAAAATGAAATGTTTTGATATGCTTGACCCACACTCTAAACTGATAATAAAAAATAGTTTGAGTGTTTTAACTGCACTGGTGGAAAAGTTATGGCAAAATCCATTTTATAACTTTCAGATAGCTTTAATTGATTGTAAGGTTCATGCAATCATTTGTCATACTGCAAATAAGATGATACAGTTCATGTATAGATTTTAAATTTATGGTGCCTTCTTTTTGCAATACCAATATAATCCATCTTTTCAAATACTAGTAAATCAAGACAAAAACCTTTTCTTAGTAAATTTATGGATCCAAAAAGAAAAAGAGATCCGGAATGAATCTTTTGTAAGACCATCATTTCAGAAATAAATCTTTCCTTATATATGAGAAAATGTACAAATCTTATTTTATATCTTTTAATTTAATTAACTAGATATTACCAAAACGTACATATAGTTTACAACATTTTTAAGAGCAGATTCTTTTTTTCTGGCATCTTGTTCATGAGCAGGAAAATATATTTTGAAAAAGTATTGATGCTACTATAAGATTCAAATTTCAGCAATTTTTTCTAAAATAAAATATTCCCCCACTTTTCTCTGCAGTATGTTTAGTGGTTGTACAGATTTCCGCATTTCACAGTGGTGAGAATGGCAGGTGCACGTAGTACTTTTGTCATTTC